AAATATAGTTTAAGAAATAAATGGTACTTAAATAGATATAATCACATAAAAAAAAGAGTATATCTCTCCATCCACAACACAATTCATATAAAAGTACATATATGCAACAACACAATGAAATATGCCCTCCCATCACCTTGCTCCTCCTTATGACTCCTTGACAAGGACCCGGGCTTTCTGTGCTGAGTAACCCGGCCAAAGGTCACCCCACTCACATCAAGCAACGGGCCCCCTCCTGTACCTACACCGCCCAAGAATGGACTATGGTGCAAGAGGTGTCTACCCAAGAGTTCATTCTCAATTCCGGGCCAAGGAAAAGGAAGAACTACAGGGGTCTAACAATAAGGCCAAACACTGGGATCCGTAGTGTAGGCATGCCGCGCGGGCTTCAAGAACAATTATCCTCCACATAACAAAATCCCATCCTCCACATATGAACCCCATGCATAGTCACAATATAAATCAAAATATCACAATCTTCAAAGTAAGATGATATAATTTCAAACAAAGTATAACACATTTTCATTTCATTTAATAACATAATATTAGTATATTAAATTCAGTACTACACGAAAACACAATTTCCAATAAAACACAACTCAAACATAATTAGATCAACATACTTCCCACTTCACCAAAATTTGTCATATAATAAAATATATATTTTATTCACAGGCATACTTTTACAAATTAACTAAGAAAATAAAAACATAATAAACACCTTACAATCCAAAGCGTGTATATAAAATAAATTAACCCCGGTTACCTCTACTCCAAGCTTAACCTCACAGCTTGAGAAATAAGAGCGCAAATTACCAACTCCGAAGTACAAGATAATCTACAAATAATATAGATACAATTTAATATACATACAAATAATTAACTTACATTACATAGAATTTATTATTAATAATATCTATACATATATTTACTATCCAAAAATTCTTACTTCAATAACAATTTTTCTCTACCCAAATAACTCATTTAAATTATAAATATTTATAAAATATTGTTTTTATCTAATATTGTAAGAATCTCAATTTATAACTTAAGTTTCCAGTTTCAAAATTTTTCTAATAATATAGTCTTAACCTATTTTACATTTTAAACCGATTAAAATATCAATAATATATTAAGTAACCCAAATAAGTTATTTAACTTAAATTTAATCGGTAAAAACATTCTATATATCTTGAATAATACATTTTTCAACTAAAATCTTAGTTTAAAAATTCTCAAAACAATCAATCAACAACTATAAACCGATTAAAATTTCAATAATATATCAAACAACCCAAATAAATTATTTAACTTAATTTTAATCGGTATAAATATGATATATATCATAAGTGACAGATTTTTCAACAAAATGAATTTGATTTTAAATATCATGGGTAATAAATGGACAAATCTAAACCGATTAAAATTTCTTAATAATAAATCTTTAAATTTCTACGGTCAAATATTTTCGAAACTCAATACTTACTCTATACCCAAATCACAAAATTTTCTCTAAACAGTGTAGTGATACTACTAATATAAAACTCTAAATATATAGGAAATATTCATAAGAAAAAAATTTAATAGAAAGAAGTGTTTTTATGTACCTATATGATCCCCAAAGCTTGTATGACTCCTCAAACTGCTAACACCTCTCTTCCTTTCTCTCAGTCTCTCCTTCTGCGCATCTCACTCTTTCTTTCCATTCTTTGCGATCACTTCTCTTTTTATCCTTCAAATTGCCAACCGTCTTTCCTCAATTTTCTTCTCTCATTTATTATCCTTCCCCATGTTTCCTCCTCCCTCTTTAATTAACCGCGTCAAAATTCTTCTTTGCCTTCAATTCACCTTGCTTTTCCACCGACTTTGGTGGAAAAGTTGGGGTGTGATGTTTTTTTTTTTTTTTTTTAAATAAAATATTATATAATATATATATTTTTTTTCTTTTTTTTTCCTTTTTTTTTTTTAAGGATGTTACAAGATCAACCTTCTAATTGGGTCCTATATTAAGGACCGGAGGAGTACCTATTTAGGGCAAATAACTAACTCAACTTACTTTCTTAATTTCCTCAAATTAGTCAACTAATTCTTATAATTAGGACCAGAGATAGTACTATAGAGTACTAAATTTATAATAACAAAACGTAATTCTTAAATTAATCACATTGAAAAGTTGATGTGGTTTAATTAGTTTATAACTATGCTGTAGCCGATAAAGAGAGTCGCTTAACGAGTATTAAGCGGACAGACCCCACAATCCAAGAACTAAGAAGGAAGTTGCTTTGCCCTTTTCAGGTCACTGAACTTTCCTAAGCTATACTAAACAACAGTTAAAAATTTGTACCAAAAAAATAATAATTAAAAATATTAAAATGCTTTCTCAGTAATTGGTCCTCCTGAATTTTTTTTTTGTGCCCACGCCTGTGTTCTATTTTTTAACCTGGTCAAGGTAATGCTCAATTGTTTATTGGTTGAACTTTTTTGACTTAGTTTAACATCAATATTACTTTTTTAATATCAACATATCACACATTTGATACTACATACCCATTGATAAATCACGGTTTAGGGGTTTGTTGGGTCATTCTAATATGAGGCAGCTCTTTCAATGTGCGTTTTAATCATTGCAAATTAAAATCCAAATATAGGATATTCCCTCATATTTTAAATATAAGAGTTATATAACTGATTAATAAATTAAAAAAATTAGTTGAATAAGTTATTTGTAAGAAGTGTAATGTTTTTTTGAAGACAACCCCTGAGTCATTTATTAGAAATCATCTTATTAATAAAAAATTTTCTTTAATATATGTGCAATTAAGAGAAATACAATTCTAGTATTTAATATATGACTTAATTATTGAGTTGATTTTAGTCCTTAATATCACTTAAAAACAATCTTATCTAGCTTTCTTTTGCAAAGTAAATAATTTTACCAAGTATTTCCTCTAATTCTTAATATAATAAACTAATTAAAAATTTTACTACTATTTTAGTAATACAAGGCTTCTAATTTATTCTGTCTTTTATTATTTTTTAAAATTATTCATGTTTATTGCATGCATTTATGAGTAGTTTTCAATATAAATATTCAAAAATATTAAAATAAAAATCAAAAAACATTTTTATAAATAATTATTAAAAACTATCATTCATTTGATTTTTTGAAATTGTCACATATTAAAACTATGGAAATATGGTGCACATAAGACGAGCTTATATACGCCGATACTAACTTATGGGAAAGTACACAAGACTAAACATAAAAACTTCTCTAACTAACATACAGCTGAATTAAAATCCACCTTAAAGGAGTGACAGGATACAACAAATAAAAATCATTAAAGAATAATATTTTACAATGAAAATGATATTTGTGCCGGTATTAAAAGTTGGGAATCCGAATCAATTTGGCAAATTGCCTTTTGTGAGCATAGAGTTCCAAATCAGTCATGCACGTAAAAAATTGAAACTTTTGAGCACATCTCTCTCTATTATATTATATTATATTAAACCTTTTTTGTGCATTGAAGTGCCCTTTATATGACTGGACTCTCTCTTCGAACAAATTAATAGATAATTAATTAAAGCTGATTCTATAATCTATAACGCGCGTGCAATTGCTCCATCCACTACTGCTTAGTTCTTTATCAACTTTCGCAATATGGAGTAATGCCAACCCAAATCACCCTCACGCCCTAACGACACAAACTTTGAGTAGGAGGCCCAGGTGACTGAGCTCGGGGATGATTTGTTTTCATCTTACATATAATATCTCAATAATTAATTTGGTTTCTCTCAAATTTATAATTTTTTTTTCAAATATAAGACCTATTTAACTAATTTGATTAGATTGAGAAAGTTAGGTAAATTAGTTAGTTATAAGAAATATGACATGTCATCCTAAAATACATAATCGTCTTTCTTAATTACTACTATCTTCGGTTCTTAATATAATATTTCGTTTAACTTTTATTTTGATCCTAAATAATAGACCCAAATCTATTTTGTCTATAATATTTATTCATTTTTTTTTCTAAGGTAGTCTTTCTAATAATGATAGTTCTAACCAATACATTTGATTAGAAAGAATATTTTAAGAAAGACAATACTTATTTATTACAAACAACTAACTTAACTTTTTTTCTTAATTTATTTAAATTAGTCAGCAAGTTCTTATATTTAGGATCAGAAGTAGTACCTGGGTTCTCCCAAATATAAGCCTTGTATTACTAAAATAGTGATAAACTTTTCAATTAGTTTATTATATTAAGAATAAGAGGAAATACTTGATAAAATTATTTACTTGCCAAAGAAGGCTAGATAAGATTATTTTAAGTGATAAGCCAAGGCCCTATCGATTTGATGGCCAAAAAATTGAGGAGCAACTGATATTTTACATTTATAGATGCATAGTTGCATACACATTGTTTCGTGTATTTTATATATAACTTGCGATACGCGTTGGCCAAAAATAAAATAACTTGCGATATGATTTTTTCTCCAGGCTAAGGTACAATTCTGTCCTTAATTTTATTTTCTAGGTATGATTTTGATCCCGATTTTTTTGAGTGCAATTTTGACCATAAAGGATAAAATTATACCTAAAGATTAGAGATAAAATTGCACAAAAAATAGGAGACAAAATTGCAGTTGAAAAATAAGATAATGGGTAAAATTACATTCCTAAAAAATTATAGATTAAATTACACCTGAAAAATAAGATGTCAAAATTGGACCTTCGCCCCTCTTTTGACTTACAAAAATCGTCGACATTTTCGATTGGGCCTAGAGGCAAAACCCACATTCAGCCTTTTCTGAAACTCGGGTTGAAACCCAATATACAGGTTCGGTTGAACCCGCCCATTCGGAAATCCGGATCCTCCTTGTTTCTCTCCGATCGAATTTCTCTCCCTTTTCAGTTGCCTTTGCATAATTGGCCAACCTTCACCGTCTGTAATTTCATGAGCCCCGTTCTTATTTCTACATCTCGCGTAATTTGTAAATGTCATATCATTTTCCACCCCTCGGAAAATATCTCTCTTAAACTTCGTTGCTATTCAGTACCATGGAGCATTTTGTCCTACACTACCTCCGGCCAATTCTCCGGGCGGCAGCTTTTGAAATTTCATCTCTCTTTCTATTTACCAGTTAGACATTCATAGCTTCAAGCTGCTTAGCTAAAAGCCTGAAACTTGGTGTTGGTGCTTCTGAAGTCACCGAGATAAATAGTGATTTTGTTTCCGTTCTCCTTTCTGCTGGAGATTCAGGAACTTAGTGTAAGGTTCTCTTTACTGGATCTTCGTTTCCCCCTTTTGCTTCCCGGATTTTCGGGTTCTATCAAGGCATTTAAATTTATTCACTATTAATTTTAAGTTTCACTTTTGAGGACACGAGACAAATGCTGTTAATGAAAGCAGCTGAGGCTAAGGACTTGGTTAACAGCTGAGATCTGGTTCACACATATACTTTCAATATTTCCGTGACGCTCAGCGGGATATTGCCAGTTGCTATGATAGTATTACATGATTCGTATGTTCATGCGTTGTGTAGTTGTAATGCCTAGTGTTATGGAGAACTAGAGCACACTGATTTCTTTGTTTGATAAAAGAAATCTTTAGGGTATCTTAAAACTGTGGTTGAGGATCCACTTATTCGTGCAAAGTGAATAATGAACTCAGACATTCGACTTAGATGAAGCAAACTCAAATGAGGCGTTTTTGGTTCAACATAGCGCCGATTTGAACTCGCGACTTGATGGGTAATACTTAAATTCGAATGAGGTGTTTTGTTGCCTTACGTTAACTGCACCAATTTTTTATGTCAATGTTTATTTAGGACCAGCGAAATAATAATGTAGTTGTCATTCTTCGTGCCAAAAGCTTTCTGACTGTTTGATTAATCCTGTTTTTGTTAAGTTTTTGTTTGGGAAAAAAAAACTAGATACTACCATGGGATATATAATTTACCATATGAATATCTCCGTGGTTTAGTAGCGATTCTGTATATTGTACCGGGAACTATTTTTTAGGATACTTTTAGGATGGATTTGGATTTCCATCAGAAGTGTTTGTTGGGTTCAAGGATGATAAGCGATTTATCATGGAATTCAATCATAATTCTTCTTTTTCCAGGTAAAAACTACTGTAATTTGAAGGTCTTGTAGACATTTACAAATGTTTTGCCTTCAAAGTGTGGCAGTTGGTGAATAATTTAAATTCCTCCCAAAGGCATGTGGCCAGCCTTCTTCCAACTGAAATGAAGACATGTGGCCATCCTTCTTCCAACTGAAATGAAGAACTCACAGGTTCTCTCGTCAGTCGTCATACTCCTTTTATTGTTATGTAATCTTTTTGCTTATTTAGAATGATTGTCATACACGTGTCATCAAATTTTTCGGTCTACCACATGTGACGTTGGGACAAATTTTCCATAAGGGTATTATCTTCTTTGGTCAATCAAAACATCTCTTCTCCTTAGATTATCTGAAGATGAAATAACAACAGCAAAGACATTAGTGGGAAGATATTATCAAGTTATTATGGTGCAATTGTTCACCTGTTTGTGAAAATCAAAGGAACTGTGGAGTTTCATTTATGTCCCTGCAAAGCACACAAGTTCCCATGTATGTATAGTTTGTTTATTGACGCATCTTTGTAAAGAAAACTAGCATGGACATCTGAATGCTCTAAGAATTAGGAAATTCACAAACTTTTAGCCCTTTGCATCCAGTATCATGAGCGCATTTCCACTGTTCTCTAAATTGGCGGCGATACGTTGTCTGCTTGATTCTCTAGGTGAATGCTTATTGCTGCCTGTGGATTTTATAGTTAAGCTAAATGTGAGTTTTATGCAATTGCAGAGCCCAAAAGAAGAACCCTTAACTCATGTGTCTCATGAGTCACAAAATGAACAACAAAACAATGATACATCTGATGCTCCCGTTACGGACTCTGGTTCAGCATCTGCTTCAGGCAATGACAGCAAAAAGGTTTCACGACAGGATATTGAGCTTGTAAGACAATCCACTGTTTATAAACATTTGATTAGTTTTCTTTTATTATGAGAATTTCCACATGCTTCTTTCTTTCTTTTCCTATTGTTCCTTTCTACAGGGATATTTTATAGATGCTCTCCTTAACTGTTCAGTTTCTTTTCCAAGTTGATTAATTGTTGAAACTACCTCTGTAGGTCCAGAATTTAATAGAAAGGTGTCTACAATTATATATGAATAAAGATGAAGTGGTTAAAACACTCTTGACTCGAGCAAAGATAGATCCTGGATTTACAACTCTGGGTAAGCACCCTGAAGTAGCTGTCACACTATCAAATGTTGCAATTCTAGTTAATAGTTATATCTATAGTATATTATTTATTGAAATTTATCATCATAATTGATGTTTTTTTCCTTCTTTCCTTTTATTTGGTTCCCTCTCATTTATGTGTCAATGATATGGAAATCAATCTACTTCGATGGACAAATTGCGCTTGAAAATTATGTTCTTGGTTGTTATTGCTATTTTCCTTTCCTTCTTTATGTCCAAAATTATACTTTTTGGCAGCTACATCTCCAATTGTACTTGGATTCATTCTTTATGTTAATTCAGTGTGGCAGAAGTTGGAGGAAGAGAATGCTGATTTCTTTAGGGCCTATTATATAAGATTAAAGTTGAAAAAGCAAATACTCCTCTTCAATCATTTGCTTGAGAATCAGTACCATCTGATGAAGCATTCCATGGCTCCAAAGGTTCCATTGGCTCCGATTCAGAATGGAATTCATCCAATGCCTGGTAAATCTTGCTTCAGATTAATGGAGTTAATCCACTTCGCATATTGCAAACCAAACAGTGAATTGTGATGAGTGGCGCTTACATGTCAGTTTTTTAAAATTTGTTATTCATATAACATCAACATCCTAGCCAACAACTTGAATCTGTTCATATTTCTTATGGGTAATCATGGCTTTTGAGAATGGAAAAGAACAAATACTGAGCAAATATATAGGGTTTATGGAAGTTTATCCTGCCCAACTAAATTTCATGGTTTATGATATCATCAATATATCCAAGTCCCTGCTTGCAGTGTATCCACTATTCAAAAAGATCTTGGTTCGAATTGGAGATTGACATTAGTTGACCCGTGAGGATTTATGTTGCCAAATTAATGCTTGGAAAACTTCCTTGAACTAAAAATCTTTTTTAAGTGTTTTGCTAATACTTCACACTTCAGTTGCTGAATCAGTGAATAAGCATCATATATGCTGTAAAATAAGATGAACTAGATAATTCTTACGTGTTAACTTCAGTTCTTCTGTTCTCAATTTTCCCTTACACCCCACCATTCTATAATACCACTTGTTTGCAGTGCAGTCAACAACCTGCCTATGGGCTACCCCGTGTTACAGCAACCTCCCAATATGGCAACAGGTCAACCACATCTTGACTCCATGGGTTCTGGAATGTCAAGTTGTCATGTGGTTAATGGAGTCCCTGCTGCAAGCAATTTTAATTCCATTCAGATGAATTCTGGAAATGAGTGAGAACCTATCCAACTACATACCGTTTTTTTCCATTTGAAATTTATTGGACAAGAGTACTATAAGTGCTCTGTTATTTTGGCATTTTAGGCGTTCTCTAGATGATTTAGGATGACTGGTTTTTTGTATTCAGTCTGAAATTTTTGATTGGGTTTTGCATTGTTTAAAAGTTACTACTGCTTTGATCAATGTGCTATTACTATTTATTAGCATGGTTGTCATGCCTATAAATACTAAAGTTGAAAACTGGAATGCTAAGTTACTTCTTTGTTTTGATCTGTTTAAGTATTTTGCTTGATAGAAAATCTGCTAATGGTAGCTGCTTTTGTCATTGTTGAAGTATGGTGATGGACCACAGTGCTCCTGATATGGCTCCTGTTATTCCATCAATTAACTCAATGTCGTCAGTGTCAGAAATGGCAGTGAGTCCTACGTCAGTAGCATCCAGTGGTCGTTTCCCCTTTACTACATCAGATTTATCAGGAATAAACACAGATGCATCAGCTCTGGATACAGCCTTTGCATCTGAAGTAGCCAGTTCAGCAGGACTGCAACTTGCAGCAGATGGAAACGCAGCAATTTCCAGATCGCTTGAGCAAATTCCATGGAATTTTAGCCTATCTGATCTAACTGCCGATTTGTCTAATTTGGGAGGTATTGTGTTATTGACCTTGTGCAATTCATTTTTATGTATTTAATTTAGTCAACTTAATCACAGAGCTCGTCCAGGAATGTAGTGTTTCAAATGTACAACTCGCATTGTTCTATTATATCATGGCACACCAGCAGTACTCTAGATATTTGTGACAGAGTTGAAGCTGTTGGAATTTGGAAACAAGCAATACCTTCGTAAAGATGCAGTGATGTCTTGCAAGTGGAAGCACCAAGCTTTCATGTCAATATGGGGGGAACTGGTGTTATCAATGATTTCTTTCTTTCTTTTTGTGTGTGTGTGTGTGTGTGTGTGTGTTTTTTCCCCCATTAGTTATCAATAATTTCATTTCAGTGCTATGAATTCTAGTAAATCAATGTTTCATCACTTCATACGTAAATGAATTGCTTCATGTGGTCAGGGGAGCTAACAGTATTGGTAAAAGTCCGCTTAATTTGGACAAATTGGACATCCTTATGTTTTCTTCATCAATTATCTTGAATTCTTTGCAGATCTGGGAGCCCTTGGTAACTATCCTGGTTCGCCATTTTTGCCGTCTGATTCAGATATGTTGCTTGAATCTCCAGATCAAGATATAAATAATGGTAAGTGCTTGTGTGTGTGTGAATTCCTTGGTCGTTTTACATGTCCTGAGTGTAATCATTTTGGTGAAAAATAATAGGCATACTAAATTCACATGACACGCTAAGAACTAGGTACTTATGCATCAGAATGAAATCGAACTTTGTATAATGAAACACATCAAAAGAGGACCTAAAAACATATAGAATGAATATCTCGAGGAGAAAAGGGGGGAAAGAAATCAAATATTTAAAGCCAGATAGTTAGTAATGAAGTAAAAACCTGATGATGACAAACATCTACTTTCTGGAAAGGAAATATGCTTGAATCAATTTGTAAACTTGCCTTTTACTTCCTCTGGCTGTGGTCCGAGCTTTGATTGTAACTTGTACCAATGACAGCTTTGTTTTTATTTCAGTTGATGACTTTCTTGTTAGTTCTGAGCCGCAGTGCTCTCAGTCAGACGAGCAGAAGTCGTAGATGAAGGAAAGACAACTTGTGCTTCGCATGATAATTGTTAGGTTAGGTAAATTGGGCGAATAAATGTCATTCAGTTTATTTGCTGTCATTAAAGTGTGGGCAAACTGCCCTTCACTATCATCCTGCAGATAGAAAATTTCATTGCTACTGGGTAGTTGTATTCTTCTGTATTCATTTGAGAGACCTATTGTTTGGAAGAGTTAAGGGCTCATTTTAGGACGGAATTGATGAATTTGGATGCATATTGGTTGGGATTGAATTAATGGCAGTGCAGAGGCTGGTGGGTTTGTACTCCAGATTTCCCCTGACACATTGATGAAATGAATTGAAGTGCAGCATTTGTTCTTCGGTGGAGATTGATTCTTTTATTTGGAGATGAAGCACATTTCATTTCTTTGGTTGTGACTGTTGCTGCCTGAAGGCTGATTAAACATTTTTTAAAGAGAATATTAATTAATTATATATGATTTTTTAGATATATCGAACGTAAAAACTACAAAGTTGATTTTACAATCGCTATAAAGACCCTTTTAATTTATAATTTCAAATTGTTCTCTTTTTCTTTTGCCAACCAAATTGATCTCTTCACACTATGTGAAAATAATAAGTAATTGTATAATTTTAAAATATTTTATTCTCGGTTTTGATATTATTTTTCTTTGAGAACAAAAGATAAATAATAAACTATTCTTAACTAAGTTTGCTTCATGTGTTTGATTCATGATAAATTAGCCTATCTATAATTAATTTCACAATGGGGTGGTTGCTATGGATTCTACTGTGATTGTGAATATTATACAAGGATGGGGGCAATTATTGGACAACTTGATTAAGCACATTAATTAGAAAATTAATTTTAAAGGATTTAAATGCAAACGATCTCTGGTTTCTTAATTTCTTTATTAATTGTACCATATCTGATCTCTTTCATTTTACCCAAAAAAAAAAAAAGAGGAAAAAAAGCCAAAAAGAAAAAGAAAGAAAAGAAGCCATGGATGGATGTGTCGTGGCCTGCGAGATCATCCTTCTCGTGCTTTGCGTGACGTTGACAGAAATGTGTGTGAAGAAAATTATAAAGAGATGGAGATTTCTTTCTATATTATTTATTCTATAAAGACACTTTTAAAAAATCAGCTTGTTCTAATTCCATTTTATAAAAAAATATTAAATATTTGTGGTTAAGTATCTAGGTCTTTTTTTTTTGGGTCTTCGAGATCTTTTCGATGACTTATGTTGTATTGAAAGGATATCTATATGATCCGATCGATTGCGTCAAACCCGCGGTAGCAAAAAAAGAAGCTTTAGAAAAAATGTAGGATTAATAGGATTTTTAATCCTTGAAATTTGAAGTTATTTTAGTTTTTGATTTTTGAAATTTGAAACTGAATTTTGATATTTGACTTGATTTTGATTTTGACTTCTTTAACCAGTAATTTTGATTTCTGAAATTTAACCGGTTTAAAAATTTGGTCTATGAAACAAGGATCAAAATAAAAAAAAAATTAAATTTTAAGAATCAAATTCATTTATTTTAAATTTTATGAATCAAAAACCACAAAGATTTCAAATTTTATATACTAAAATTATTGGTTTTAAATTTTATAGACCAAAATTAAAGTAAAATCAAATTCTAAACACTAAAAATGATATGAACAAAAATGACAAAATAGACCGTAACCAGCACCCTCTGAATGGTTTTCCAAGTTATTTGGGTTGTTAAGCGTCAGAGCCTCAGCCTCCACTCAGATCATTATTATAAAATCATAGCCTTTTAAAGCATAAATCATTAAGGCTAAATCATTGCTTTTGAAACTTTAGAAAGTAAAATTCATCTTCCAACACAAATCATTAAGGCAATTCACAAGAGTATTTTTAAAAAATATTTTTTCATAAAACAAAACAAAATTTTTCACGTATTTATTTCCTAAATATAAAAATACTTTTAAAACACTCCATTAACCATTGATCACCGACAAAACAAAAGAGCACACTTACACACAGCAAAACATTCTCAGGTCTCTCCTTTCCTCTCAGCTCTGAGGCTTCCCTCTGTTTTTGATTCCTCAGAAATAGAAGCAAAATTCATGGATCTTCGGAATGTCTGAGGTCAATCACGCCTTTCCCGTTTTACCCCCTTCTTATCTTCTTGTTTGTTTCCCTTCTTTGGCCCCTTCTCACCATACATAGCAAATATAAGGACCAGGGTTACTTCGTACTTCAAGTCCCCTGTTTTCATCCCATCTTAATTTCCATCCATTCTTGTCTTTCAAAATTTATATAGATATATTATTAATGATTACTCCAACTTCTGTGAGGGACTCGGGTTATAAACTTGCTCTATGTTCAACAGACAAAATTTATGTTAACAATTAGTATTTTGCCGGTTTTTAAAGATTCCTTTTTTCCCCCCTGCATCATCGAAGTCATTATTCCTGGGTACGAGATTATAAAAAGACTTCGAGAACTTATTTAAAAAGACGTTAAAAGAATGACTTCATAAACGAACCATCTTGTTACATTGAAGATGAAAGTGACTGTGTTGTGTTTGATTTGCCACCCTACGTGCAGACGACCAGAAGGGAAGGCATGAAGATAAGAAACAAATATCAAAGGAGGAGGTAAGAGAGATAGTTGTTGGTCATCTGAATTTTCATTCAACCGACTCGATAAAATAAGTGTTTGCGGGGTGGAAGCATATAGTAAAGTGTGGAATCGTCTTTTAGCTTTGATCAGTGAACAAAGTGTACGGACGAAGTAAAAGTCAGAGGCTTTCAGAAGGAATTTAAGCAGAGAAATGAGACCTCACGGCTGCAACAAAATAGTACTAGTGACAAGTGTAATGGCACTGCTTGTGGATCCGATGATGTTTTATATCCCAGAAATTGATGCCAAGAGGAAATGCCTTGTTTTGCACAGAGCCTCCAAGATTATAACTTGTGCACTTTGCACATTCCTTGATCTGTCCTACGTCATTCTTCACCTACTGCTTCAGTTTCGAGCTGGCTTTATTGGCCCTTCTTCCCGACTGTTTCGTCGCGGTGTGCTCGTTGATGATCTTCACGCTGTCGCAAAAAATACTTATTGTCATCAAAATTCATTATTGACATGCTATCAATTATTCCACTTCCCCAGGTATCTCCCTCTCCACTCTCATTTACTCTCTTCCGCATACATATTCTCTACCACTCTGATCATGTTATAAAGCACTCTGCTTAGTGGGTTCAATGCCCAGAGAAAACAAAAATGATGTCCATCCAATCCATAACAGCTCCCAATTAAAATCCTTCTAATATTAGTAGAAATGCAGTCCCTCAAATAGAATTATCCTTAAAAAGACCTATGAAAAAAAATCCTCCATTTTCAAATCACTAAGAATTACTTTAGTTAGGAAAGAACCCACTATTTTTTTTCTGGAACTCTTGTAATTTTCGTAACAATATCAGTAGCCCTCCACCATTTAGGTGGACTGGTTTGCCTCATAATTTTCTAGAAGAAATTGCACTCATTTGCATGGTCATAAATTGCCTCAAATCCCATCCAACATCTGGCATGGTTTAAGTTCTGCCTCATCATTTACATGGTCAATGGTCATATTTCTTTTTAGTTATACTTTGTCCCTAAACTTCTCTATAATTGTAGTTTAGCCCTCAATTTTTCACAATTTCATTTCAACCCCTCAACGTTATGGAATCTCACTTTGTACCCTAAATTTTTGAAATCCACGTGTGTCCGGAACTTTGTGAACATTACGGTTTTGCCTATAGACTTTCTCACATTTTACTTAGACCCCCAACTTTCCAATCTTTGCTATTTCTAATTTAACTCAGTTTTTTCCCCTTTTAAGCCCTTCCAACGGTCAAGCCAAAACTCAAAACATTCTAGTTTACCTCCTTTAGCCCATATGTCGCTCTCCATAACGGAGACCCGTGCATGAAGTTGAGATTGACGAGTTGAGAGGCTGAGTTGAAATGCTGTAGATGTTAGATTTCCAATGAATTGAATTTGAAGCAAAAAAAGAGGCAAAAGAAGATGATGCAATACAAAATTTACTGGGGATTCAATAACAACTCTGACTTTTTGTTTTTTAATCAGGTGTTTATTTTAGTTATCATTCCAAGAATGAATTCGTCATCGGTTCCACGGATAGAAAAGGAATTTTTAAAGTATATAGTATTAATCCAGTATGTGCCAAGAATTGTTCGGATGTGTCCATTCTTCAGAGAAGTATCTAGAACTGCTGGCATACTTACTGTGAAAGGACGGGCTGCTGCTGCTTACAATCTCCTTCTCTATAGCTTGCAAGCCATGTAAGCTGATTTTTATTCCTTATGAATAAATTATCCATATAATTAGATATTGATTTCTAAGTTATTTCAAATGTAAATTGGTCATATATATGTCAGGTGGCTGGCTCTGTCTGGTACTTGCTTTCAGTAGAGTCAGAGATTCGATGTTGGAGGCAAGAGTTGAACAATGCTAATCTGTCTGCAACTATATACATGAGAGGTGGACACCAGAACTCAACTGTCCTCTCACTTCTTGTTAGTTCTTGCCCCTTTAGAAATCCTGATGACATTGACGACCCAAGAGTCTTCAATTTTGGAATATTTATCGACGCCCTGAGATCTCGGGTGGTGGAATCACAACCAATTTTCCTCAAAAGATCTTCTACTGCTTTTGCTGGGGTTTGCGCAATTTGAGGTTGGTGTATGTATAGTCTTGTTTAATTTGTTCTTCCATCCCCGCATTCGCAAGGTTCACAGTTTGTATTCCATGAAAATATATAACTTCTTTAATAATGCTTGTTCTGGTTAAAAAAAAAAATAAAAAAATTAATGCTTGTAATATCAGAGTGAAGAAAAACACACCAAAAGCCATAAACCCTTTTTCCATGCATATATATTCTGCAGTTCTCTCGGCCAAGACCTCAAGACCAGCACAGTCATTGAGGAAATATTCTTCAATATCTTTATTGCCATCTTCGGATTGATTTTATTCGCGCTACTCATTGGAAACATACAGGTGATAATAGATTGTATTTGCTAGTTTTTTTTATTGCAGTACAGAAACTTATCCATATGGAAGCGATAAATATGGTAATTAGTAGTGTTTAAACTCTCACATTGAATGAATTCTTGAGTTGTGTATATTACAGAAATATCTACAATCCATGCAATCTACAGCTGTTAGAGCTGAAGAAATGAGAGTGAACAGACAGAACATAGAGAAATGGATGTCCAAGCGCAAGCTACCAGAGAACTTGAAGCACAGAATTAGACGATATGAACATTACAAATGGCAAGACCATGAGGGTTTGGATGAGGAAACATTAATGAGAAATTTTCCTAAACATCTCAGAAGGGACATAAAGCGTCACCTTTGCTGGCCTTTACTTACGAAAGTGGGTATCCTCTTTAAACATCTCTCCGTCGAGGAAGATGCATTATTTATATAAAATTTCATTCGTGGGCTTCCTATAAGAGTGTTTAACATGCTTACGTGTGTCTTCATGGCTGACTTTCTCCAACATATGAACATGTCCTTCAGGTGCTAGTGTTTGACAAATTAATGGACGAGAAGCTGCAGGATGCACTTTGTGATAGGCTGAAGCTACTACTGTATGCAGCGAATAGCTGTATTGTTCACCAACGAGATCCAGTCGATGAAATGCTCTTCGTCACGCGAGGAAAACTTAATTCTGTGAGAACAACAAATTATGGTGGAAGACCTGGTCTTATCAACGCCTCCTTTATCGGGGAAGGTGACTTCTGCGGAGAGGAGCTTTTAACGTGGGCCTTGGACCCGGGGTCATCCTCAGATCTTCCTCTTTCGACCAGAAGAGTAGAATCTATATCAGAAGTTGAAGCCTACGCTCTCACGGCTAATGACTTGAAGCTCGTTGTTTCCCAGAGTCGATGGCTTGTCAACGAAGATACCAAACATATTTTCAGGTTTCTGCTCGTTTATATCCTTGATGATGTGTTTATCTCCTTCTCTGTGGAATATTAGTGCAGTGAAGAACACAATTTGCAGAGAAATCATATTGAATTTAACACAGTGGGCTCAAATGATAGGTTTAAATCCAAACTTATTTTACATTGAGCTAAGTATAGTCCATGGAGAACAGAGCCAGTTATGCATGGCAGAGATGTTAAATTGATAAGATATACGATTCACTGTTCTTTGTCTCTCCAGGTTCTATTCCTGGCAATGGAGGATATGGGCTGCCTGTTTCATACAAGCAGCTTGGCGTCGATATGTCGCGATGATTGAGAAATCAGAAGCTTTTGCAGATGATGAACATGGCTTAGCATCCAGGTTCCCCGCCACTGCACAGCGATTGAAGAAGCCCAAATGGTGAGCCATGCAGCCGATGTGACGGCGTACCTCGAAAATAATTTAGGAATGCAATACTGATAAACTAGTATCACACACACACACACAATGCCTCCAATGGGTGCGCTTCGCTTCACTTGGACCTGGCAAGTGTATGTGCCTGTGTGCTTAGCTAGCTTGTTCCAGAATTCGGGTGACAAGTACGTACAGATATGTGCATGACCATTTAAAGCTTTCTGTTTCAGAAAATTCATTAGGGACGCGTTCCTATTCTTTTCTTGCATTCTACAAGTAATAGACGGCTGCATTAATTTTGGCTTAGATTTGCTCCTTTCTTCATGAGAAGAGGGAGAAAGAGACAATGGACACCACCTATAGCATGGGACCAATCATGGATTATTCATCGTAAGAGTTATCACTGTTCATTTTAATCTAAACCATTCTGATTGATTTTGAATGGCTTAGATTTAATTTAAATAATTTATATATTTTAAATAAGTTTTTATTTTGATAGATATGTAATTTAAAATAAAGATAACTTTACAATTAATGCTTCTTTAAAAAATAAAATTATAAAAATTTATAAATTAAAACTTTTAAATATAAGTAATTCATATCAAATTTTAAATGGTCTAGATTGTATCGTAACGATAATACTCATGGTTGTTATGACTACCACATGAGGTTCCAGAATGTACTTAAAGTGACATACTGCTATCCATAAACCTCGCGCGTGTTTTATTTTTCACTTTCAGCAATATTTCATTTTTTTTCCTGATTTTTCTCTACATATTTTATTAAGTTATGCATGACTTTATTTTTATTTATTTATTATTTCTCCATATATTTCAATAAAATATTTGGGAAAATATTATTTAGTATTTGTTCTACAGATTGCAATGAATAAGCTAAGGGGGAAAGTGATCTAATTAATTAGCTAATAAAGCCTAGTAGGATGAGAAAGCTTTGTATATATTGAAGGAAACTTATATATAATTTCATAATGTGGTGGTTGCTGGTGATTTTTACTGTGATTGTGAATATGATAAAGGCCAACGGACAACTTGATTGGGATTGAGGAAATATCATTATGGATAGTCCATATTGTAAAGTCAATGAAAAATAGAAAGATGTTGACCAAACTGTGTAGAAGAAAATTATGAGACATAAGATTAAATTAAAGATTTTTTTCATTTAAAAAGGACTAAATTAAATACTCCTCCGGTTCTTAATATAAGACCCATTTAACTAATTTGATTAGATTAAGGAAGTTAGGTAAGTTAGTTAATTATAAAAAAAGTGACACATTTTTCCTAAAACACCATAATCATCTTTTTTAATACCTCATCCCCTTCTTCTATTTGATTATGGTTGAGGGAGTGTTTATAGGGGTAATTTAGATAAAATTGATAAATATGAGAAATGGGTCTTATATTTAAGATCAAAACCAACTCAAGAATTGAGTCCTATATTAAGGACCAGAGGAGTATTAAATAGTTTAATGAGGACTATAAAGATTCGAATATAAGGCGTGTTTTGTAAAATCCTATGGGTCCGTTTACTTATTATTTCTCCTATTTAATACCATCCCATTTTTACTCCCTTTTTTTTGTGTGTGTTAAACTCCCTTGCGCCAACCAGATTCAACACCTTACCTTACTTTCCAATTAATTAATGGAGGCAGGCAAGAGAGAAAAGACTTGACAAACAAATTGCGCATGGCTTCTTTATACGAAAGATAAAGATTTTTTTGCCCTTCATTATGCCCCACCACCATTCATTTCTCCCTTTCTTTTCACTAAAAGAAGTTAACTTTAAATTACTTTTTTTATTTGTTGGAAAGGATTTTATTTCTTCATTAAATGTTTTTTTTATTTGCTTTACTGTTTTGCATCACATACTAAAGTAATCAAATAGGGATATACTTTTATGATACGTCTTCATGTATGCAGCTGATTTAATCAATCATGGAGATCAAAATCATCAAGCTAAGTAACAAAAGAAATGTGCGTTATTAGAAAAATTGGATGGCACTTTTTAGAAAGCATCCAACATCAATCAATCGAGGCTCATTCATCAATCATCAATCATCAATAATTTACCAAACCGACAGAGAGGGAGAGAGAGGGGTCGTAAGCCAGTGACCACATATTTAAAAGATTGCACAGCAAAAGGCAAGGAGAAGAAGAAAGGCAGAAAAAAAGAAATTGAAATAATGCGTTCCAGTGTTGTAATTTACTTTGCTCTATATAAGTGAACAAATGTTATATTTCACTGTTTTTTGAATTCTAATACTCGTATAAAAACGTGAAATATAAGAAATAATTTCCTTGTCCTAAAATCCCTCGGTTCCCCATGCGCCAAATAATTAGTTAGGATGACAAAATGCAAAAAGATGAGGCTATTTTTATCCAATAGGAAAAAAAATTCTTAATTTTTAAAATTTTACTAATATACTATCATCCATTTTAAATATAAAATCTAAACAGGATTTCATATTTAGAATTAAAGATAGAATTATGCCTTTTGCCAAAAGTAAAAAGCTTTGTGTAAATGCTGTAGGAGGAGATAAATTTTGGTGGTCCCACATCCACATGGACAGCGACACTGATTTTTTTAATATATGGGAGCTACCTATTTCCTATTTTTGGGACTCGTAAAGGCTAGCTTTTGGGGTGTTTGGCTTTTCCTGCAGGCTGCAACATAAGATAAGCTACTTTATATACTCTTTCAGTTCTTAATATAGAACCTAATTATTGAGTTGGTTTTGGTCCTAAATATAAAATTTATTTTTTATATTTATTAATTTTTTCTAAATTACTCTTATGGATACTCCATCAACTATAATCAAGTAAAAAAGGGAGATGGAGTATTAAGAAAGATGATTATGGTGTTTTAGGAAAAACGCATCACATTTCTCATAATTAACTAACTTACCTAACTTCCTTAATCTAATCAAATTAGTTAAATATGTCTTATATTAAAGACTGAAGGAGTATTTATTTAAAATCATTTTTAAAACCATACTTAAATGAATGAATCTTCCTTACCAGACTCCGGCGTGGACTCTGCTTCCTAGTCTTTCTTGCAACCGCAAAACGGCTATCACATTCACATACTCTCTGCCCTGCAAAGCTCAGCCTCAGACATCTCTGAACGCTTCTCCTCCGATTTTCTCTCGAGTTCAACAAACTATTCTGAAGCTTGTGATGTAACATTTCTAAGTCTTTCTGGCTTCTCTGCTCCGTGCTTTCCCTCTGGTTTGATTCCCAAGAAAGGGAAGGAAAAATGACAAGGGCCTTGGGAAAGAAAGCCTTTTACGCTGTTTGAAACCATCAACACATGTTCGTGGTTGGTGTTTCTTTTTCCTTCAACTTTTTGCAAGTTTTTTCCTTTTATTGTAATCTTGTTTTACCCAAGAAAAAGCTGAAAATACATTCAACAAAGTTTCTACCTTTCTGTACTTCCTTAGAAGCCAGACACAAATCCATGTATAGCCTTGCTGTTATCTTCTATCTCATCTTCTGTAGTGATCATGCACGCATGTTTGGTACGAGGAACTTCCATGAAGTTCTACTTGATGTGAAAATGCCCCGGTTAAATCTTTTAGGTTGGAAGTTTCTTGCTTGTTCATATTCAATTGTATTTTACTGAGTGATGCAACGTGATTCATGTTTTCTTTATCTTGGTTTCTTCTGCATCAGTGAATAGTCCTAGTTAGTTTTGAATCTTTCTCCGTCCTTTTTCTCTCCATAAATTGGCGTGTCTCATGTTTGACTCAGTAGATTGACTTGATTGACTCAGTAGTTAAGTTT